TTGGAGTTGGTTGGTTACACAGATTCAGATTTTGCAGGATGCAAAGACACTTCTCAATCAACTTCCAGTTTTGTGTTCATGATGGGAGGAGGTGCAGTAGCTTGGAAGAGTGCAAAACAACCATCTATAGCTACATCTACTATGTTTGCTGAGTACTTGGCTTGTTATGAAGCTACTTCACATGCTATGTGGTTGAAAAATTTCATAAAAGACCTAAAAGTAGTTGATTCTATAGAGAAGCCTATTCAGCTATTTTGTGACAATAAAGGAGCGATGTTCTTTTGCAAGAACAATAAAAGGTCTGCTGGACTCAAGCATATGAAAGTGAAGTATTTGCTAGTAAGAGAGAAGGTTCGAGAAGGCTTCACCACTGTTGATTATATCAACACTACAGAAATGATAGCAGATCCCTTACATAAAGCAATTCCAAACAATGCTTTTCATAGGCATGTGACCAATATGGGATTACTGTCCAGTTTCGAAGATTCTTTGGTCTAGTGGGGGTTGATGACTTGTTCTCATTTCAGCTATTTTGTTTAAGTTTTCTGTTTGTTGTTTGAGCTAGTGTTTTGTCTTGACTTCTAGTTAAATTATTCTTGAACATTTTAGATTCTTAAATGAATATTGATTCAATTTCATTGATTTTGCAATATGATTACAGTTTACAATTCAAGTTGTAAAATTATTTAAGCTACAGGTAAGATCATATGTATAAACATATTGATCATAAAGAGGACCATTCGTATGATGAATGAATAACTTCAAAGTTTTGATTATTCATCATGTGATGTTGAACATAGCTTGTTGGTACTCTATGTATATGTTATTGCTTGCTATGATTATAGGTGGATGATACCATGAAATGGTTATCGTGTCTATAGTCCTTTGAGTTGGTAATATTTGACAGTGAGTTTGATATAGATATTGTTATCAAGCTGTCTTTCCAAATTGTGCACATAAGGTTATGATCCTTGATCTTTAAAGAAGAGTTTTAAATGGATGTTTCACTCAAGTGGGAGAATGTAAGAACTCTATTTGAGTTCACATCCGTTTAGGAATCCAACTTGATCAGGGATACAAGGGAGAGATAAGCTGGATATACACGGATAAGTTTGATAGAGTTGGAGCTCTATCTCACTTGTGGAATATCTATTATATTAGGCTATGGACTCTTAAGGTGATAAGGATAAGCCTTGAGGAATCCTTTATGGGCTAGGAACCTCAAGGCACTCACCATATAAAACTAAGGCTTCGGTCCCCACTCTCATGCACTGAAAAACAGACTCACATTCCTACCCATACAGGAGAGATTTAGAGTGCATAGAGAGAGGAAGACCAAGGCTAGTTCGTGGGTTTTGCTGCTGTTGCTGTGCTTGCTCTAAATGGCTTCTCAAGGTTAGTGCTTATAGATTACATGTGATATAGAACTTACAGTTGTGTAATCTTCTGCTTTCTTTTTCTCTAATGCAAATTGCAAAGCAGCAGTGTGGAAGAAATAGAGCACTTTGTTACAAGTTTATCCTTTGAGGTCAAGCAATTTTCTATGGGAGTTGAGTGGTCAAAAGTGTCAATTTGTGCTTACCTTTCCTCGAGAAAGTTTCAGCTGATAATAACTTAGTGCACTTTATTTTGTAGAGACTTCCCTCCCTCTTTTACCAATTGCTTTTGCTTTCGTCATGATCATACTTGTCCTCCACCTCCACCTCCACCTCCACCATCCATGAAACTCAATATAACACAGTTTTCTCGGAACCCTTCTTAAGTTCTTCCCTACTTACGATATTCAAGTCTCAAGAGAGAAGAGAAGAACTGAGGGAGCTTCCTTCATGCTTCAAACCATACCCTCCGGTAAGTAAAACCAATCAATTACAATTTTCTGTCAACTTTAATGCCATTTTCTTTTTGGGTTTCTTGTGCGTTTGTTTTGAAACTCATGCATTCCTACATCTGTGTGCCAGTTGAGTCTCACTTTCCTGATGCTCAATGTTCTAACCTTTCTTTTGCACTTTCTGGAGATGTGTTCATCAGTTCATTTCTTAATTCAAAGAAAGCAAACTAGACAAAAGGAGACAAGTGCACACAAAAACCAAAACCATTTTCACTCCAATTATATTAAGTTTGGTTACATCAGAAATCAAGAGGGAAACCAAAGCAAAGAAGAAAAAAATGAACTTAATTCTATGCTATACCTTTGCACACCAAAAAACGATAAACAGGAATCCACTTGAACTGGTTAATCCTCTCTCTCTCTCTCTCTCTCTCTCTCTCTCTCTGTTTACTTTTCAACATATACTCTAGCTGAAGATATAGGCGAGGTGCCAATGTATACTTACAGTCTTACACTCTGAATGACTAGGGATGTAGCAGGTTCTGTACAACTGGTAAATCAAAGGCCAAAAAATGGAACACACCAAGACAAACTAAAGAATGACACACCAAGCAGGCAGAATGTGAGTACCGGATAGGAACTCCAAGGGTGGTAACTCTGCTGAGGGACAAAAGAATGCAGAAAACTTTGTTAGATACTTTTGGAAATGCTAGAATGCACCGTAACATTCTAGATCTGGGTTTTGGGAAGCAGATCTTAACCTGCCTTTTGGTAAAATTTCAGGCTGGAATGGCTGCAATCCAAAGAGGAAAGGAATTCAAAAAAACATGAACTCAATAGGCAAGGCAACTAAGCCATGTAAAATTTCTATGTATAAGGTGGATCAAAAAGGCTGGTTGATTATAGACTTTGAAGGAGGGCTCGTTTGCAGGGTGGTGGTCGTGAAGGATTGTTGCTTGGGTAAGGAGAAGGAGACTCCACTCCAAGCGTTTTGAGCAAGAAGCTCCTTTCCTGAAAAATCCAACAACATAACTGGTTAGGCTTGCTCTCCTGCTATATGCACTTAAGCTTTTTATACTAGCCATTACATAACTTACTGAAATAGAATATGTGACTGAAAAAAGTAATAACTACTAGGCAAAAAACACGATAGTATTCTACTCTCTGGCTCTACAACTATTATTGGCCTGGCCTGTTTTTAATGAGTTCAGTCCTAATGGCTGTTTATCACCAGTAGACTTAAGAGAGTCCTACATACAAATGTTGCAGGGTCAATCTTTCCTAACAACCAGAGCCATCATTACTAATACCACTAGTGATTTCGGAAGACTAGAAGTCTTACAAATGTTTCAATGAAGTAATTTGAGAAGCCTACTAGTGACTTGATAGCGACTGAAGGTGCTGCTAATACAATGAAGGATGTTTCAAATAACTTATTATTTGAAAGATTTGAGCTCCTGAGGGAACTTACACTTTCAGAAAATTTTGGGCTGGGAATTCCTGCTGCCAAAGATCGGAACAACGGGGTAACTTGATTAGGAGAACTGAACTCTGTATTTGACGATACAGAAATGACTGCATCAGTTTTTGTTCCTTCATTACAAGATGGAAATATCTCTGCAGAAATAAGATTAGATACGTTATTAGGAAATCTAATTAAGCTGGAAACTATGATATATAATTCACAAGTAAAGTTATTATCAGCTTATATATCTTATATGATAATCCATTACCTTGCTTTCTGGTTCCACTGGAAACAATCCCTTTCTCACATTCACGAACATCATTTTCCCCTCCAATAGGAATGGATTGTGATCCAGGTTGAATCTCCTCAATCAGTGTACCTATTTCAGCTTCGTTTTGTTCCACATAACATTCTGTTTGGGACAGGAGAGTTGACCCTGTACTGTATTCAGAGCTTCCTGGGGACTCATCGTATAGATCTGGTTGCCTACAATAATATGTCATCAATTAGATGATGTAGGGTGATTTAAGCATGCTCAAATCAGAATAGTCCGGGTCACTTTTCTTACTGCCAAGATGGTCGACTTCCTTCATTAGTACTCCTTAAGTCCTCTAACAGATATTTAAGATCTTCGAGTTGAAAATCAAAATCAGTAATTCCATAACTGAGGATGTCGCTTTCTTTGCTTTGATTCAAGAAATCCTGGAGCACCTGGATATCACATTTGATATATGTTAGAGAATATGCAGACTCAATTTTGCACCGTACTTAAAATTTTGATTGGAGGGAATTCAAGTACTAAGGGAACCTCAGATGTCATGCTATGGATAGTTATGTCAGGAAAGCTAGATATCTAACATTGACGAATAAACATTCAACCAAGTCTCATAACTACATTATTCACTGTTGGAATGGTCTGGACTATCTTACGGAAAGGATGGCATCTGTTGATTGATGTTGGGAATTGTACTCATTTGGTTGCTATAAATGTGAGTCATATTTATATTTTGACATCAATTACATGTTGATAGCTGAGGCCACAACCAATGAAAAATTAAATCTCACCTTCCAAGCATTTTCAAGACTCTGGTCTGTGTTCTCTGTGTTAACTTTTAGTGCCAATGAGCTGAGCAACTCTGCTTGTTGCATCAGAGCAGTTATCTTCGGATCGTCCTTCTTGAGAAATGATCCTTGAAACTTGCTATTTTGTGCTGCTGATAAATGACATTAAGAATGGAATTAGATTCTCCTGAAATTTTATATTTGAAAACATATAAATCACCGCATCTTGTATTTTCAACTGATAAATAGGCCAACATTCTGGTGGCTAAATAGAACAAAAATACGCTTATGTTTTCATTTTATATAAATAAATAAATAAAATTTAAAAAGCTTATTTTCTCACACATTTCATGCAATGTGCTTCTCAGGCATTGTAATAGCAATCTGATGAGTTTTCAAACAAATTTTTATTTGAGGTGATTTACCATTCCCAGGGACTTCCTTGGTGCTACTGACATTATGCTGGTCTGGCAGGTTGTCTACATTGTGGAAATTCTGAATCAACACAGTAAATGGAGCTCTTAGCTGCTGATTCATCTTTCCACACTGCTCAAATAGTCTGTCCCCAGAGTTACAATTTTCGGAGAGATTAGGGATGTGGGTTCTCCTGTTTCGCACAAAGAATGAGTTCTACTACATTGAGTAGTAATCTAATCAACATTTTTGTACATAAAGATGTAATTTCTACTCTACCTCATCTTCTGAGAAGGTGCTGTAGTTTCTGTTGTTCCATCTGTATTGAAACCATTTCGGATTATGACCCTTTTGTCATTTGAATTGATGTATGAAGTAGCGTTCTCTTTAGCTAAGGCCTCATATTTGGCTCTCTTCTTGCACAAGGTCGAAAACCGGTTTTTCACAGCATTGTCAGTTCTGCATAAGTAGCACAGATTAAGCGCGTCATTACAAAGACCTGCCTTATTGCACAAAGGGGGAAAAGAAAGATACTATACCTTCCCGAAACCACCTTGGCTATTTCTGTCCATCTGTTACCAAATATCTTTTGAGCCTGCAGATCAGATGACCTTGAGTTATAGGTTGCTGTTACCACATCCAATGATCTGGGCAATAATGTAAAATGCTGAATGAACTGTGGTGGGTTTTTCTGTTTAACTTTAGGAAGACAGACTATGCAATCAATAGGTCTGGCCTACTTGGTCTTATTATAACCGAGATTCAAGAAAGTAATTCGAGTCATTAAAAGAAAGAGCTTCTCCTAGATCGAGTTTTTGGTAAAAAGTTTTTTCATTAAAACTAACCTTGTATATATTTCACCATTTTAGGATGCATAAACTGGAGTTTCAGAAGTTTACCTCGCATAAGAGCATGTCTTCCTCTGGTGACCACCCTCCCTTCTTGAAGTCAGAATTCAAGTATGTGTACCATCTGCAACATTATTTTCCAAATTCATATAAAAACAGATTAGTAGTCAAAACAACTATAGCCGAATAATTAGGTGGAAGAAAACAGAGGATGGCTCAGCAAAAGTTGAATTCAACATTAATTATTGGGTTTGAAAAATACCTTCTCCTGCACTGTCTCGTTGTTTTATCCTTGAATTTAGACGCAATGATAGCCCAACTGCACACAAAATGATCACAAAACTAAGCCCTCAGTTCATTTTCTACGAAAAAGAAAAAGAAAAAGAAAAAAAAGGATGCAGCAGCAGCAAACAGAAGGTAATGAAATTGAATTAATGTCAAGTAAAACCAAGAAACATACTTGTCCGTTCCATGAACGCTAATTTGGTTGCGCAGAATGTCATCCTCCTGTAACACACGAAATGAACCAACCCATGTCAGAAAACCAAGAAATATTGCTGGGGGTATTGGTATTAATCAAAACTAAAACTCTTATCTATTTATCCAAAATGAAAAACAAGGGTGAGCAAGAAATAAAAAGGACCTCTTGAGACCAGGTAACTATGTGGCGCTCCTTCTTCTTGGAATTAGAATATTCATTTCCAAGCTTCTTCCTTGGCTCCTGTTGCGGCATTGGGTTTTTAATTTCACCTCTCTCTCACCAGTCTCACTCTCTCAGTCTCTCTCTTGGCCTTGGACGCTCCTTGATCCCTTTATCAAAACCAAGTTGCATAATACAACTAAAGCCGAAGTCTTTTTTGAGCTATATAATAAAGAAAATGGCCAGACCCCAAAAGAAGCAGAGAAACCCTTCCCTCTCTTTTTCCTAATAATCTTTACAGATACTGTTGGGTTCAAACGGAACCATAAGCACAGTCCAAACGATGACCCGATTGATTTGCCTCGGATTCTAACTTTTCAAACGCACCTTTGGAGTTACTCTTTCTCAAAGTTTCACTATCCCCTGAATTGAAACATATAAGAACTGAAGAAAGAGAAAAGACATCAGCCCAATATACCAAATATATGCTCAAACAGTGTATATACTTGAAAAAAGAGATTAGATTGGATCTGGGTATTTGTACTTGGTATCAACTTTCACCAGCTTACAGAGATTTAGGCTGAAAACTACGATCAGGGTTGTGAGAGTTTGGGGTGGGACTGGAGAGAACAAAACAGAACAGAACAGAGGAGGTGTAGAAGAGTAATAAGCTGAAACCTTTTTTGAAACTTTCTCTGTCTTCTTTACAACCAATGACTTGTAAGGACTTCTGCAAAGTCTAGAATATATATTTTTAAAATTAAAAAAAAATTGGATATATAAATAAAACTAACGGATTGTTTTTGGTTGCTTTATAGTTTAGTGCGCGGGTATGAGGGGAAGTTTGAAAAATAACGCTGAATTCCATGAGATAACATTAATGGATGATGGTGGAGTAGACTATGCCAACAGGGCCACACACTATTTATCAATATTTATAATGATATTCATATAATGATGAATAATATATTTTTGTGTTTTTTAAATCTGATGAAAGAAAAATTGATATGATTGGCTGTGGCACATGCATGATGCACCATCATGTATATTTGTTGTATATGGTATTTGATATTATTATTTATCATATCGGCATTTGATTTTGGTGGGTTCAAAACTTTTCAATATGTTGCAATGGGTTTTCATCCGAGATATTGTGTTCGAATTCCTAAATATTTTACTTGTATTAGGAAAAATTTTGAAATTGTTTTTTGTGGGTTTGAAAATTAATAAACTTTAAAGGGGAAGTGACCATCTTCGTGACCTAACCTTCACAATCACTCAAATGAGGCGGAGGAGAGCCTAATATATTTTCCATTTCCATTCAATGCCTGTTTTGGTTAATTCATTTCTATCACATTAATCTTGTTTTTTGTTTGAATTTTTCTATTTTTCATTGTGCTTGCTTGGGCGGCTTTTCTCCATTCCCACGTGTATATGAAATCAAATGAGGGGGTTGCCATTGGAGCCAATCCCCCACAGCCACGTGTACTTATGTGATGGGTCCGAGTCTCATACTCAAATTGGATGTTGGCCGCACTCCCCCACGCACGACAATCTTCACGGTGGTCTGGCACCTTCCTTATGCTGTTTTCACTTTCACATTCGTAGGAAACACGAATTCGTTTTTCAAAATTGAAAGTTGAAATTTTTTTTATTTTCTATTTTTTTGGGTTATCAATGATACTGTCATGTGACTGCTTCACTCACTATTGTTTAGATGTATCATGCACGCATGCTTCATGAATTCTATATTTTTTTAATTTTTTTTAATTCTAGATTAGGAATCATTTTGAATTATATTGCTAGATCTTTGTTAATTTGTTATATTTCAAATACAATAGGGCTAATTCCATTTAGGTCAAAAAATACTTTCAACCTGTTCATGGTGAGATCTTATCTTACTACTAGATTTATTTGGTAGTTCGGGTTGAATTGAATTGGAGTTGCGTCCAAGTCAGTCCTTTTGAACTATTAATGATATATTAATGATAAACTCGTGTAAATTGAAACAAATAGTCTGCATCGTATTAACTTAATAATTAATATGGTACTATATATGTAGAAATTGGGAAACCTCCTCCACAAAAGAAGTCAAAAAGAAAAAACAGTAAGGGGTCTTCATCAAACAAAGACAAAGGGCAGCAAGCCGATGTTGGACCCTTTCTACGTACTCCATGAATGAGAGGACAAACACTAACTGTCCACAGAAATTCAAAATTGTTGAGCATTAGTGTACACAATGAGAAAATTAGGAGAGGAATACGTAACCCCACATTTTCTCTCGGCGAAGTGACAGAAACCTAACTATATTAAATTTAATTTTAGATTTAAACTTGTTAATTTGGATTAGACTAATAATCCGTGTGGGCCTTAAACTAGCTGACTTGTAATTATATTAACTACGGAGGAAAATACTAAACCAAACTTTCACAGTTCTAACATGGAGTTGCATAGGGTTTACTAAGTCCTAATTTATATTTCAATATTATTTTTATGGCTATGATAAATTCTTTTTTTCTTTTTTTTATACCAAAGAATCTAATTTTTTTTATTTAGTGTATATTAGCATTTCTCTCAGCTTTCTTTGAAGAGGTCTTATATAAACTTTGACGTATTATTATAACCCAAAAAAAAAAATGGAAAAAAAAAACTTTTACTTATATTTCCTCCACCAAACAGATATCTAGCTCGTTAACCTTGCCAGGTGGGTAAGTCCTCCATCCACCACGTGGCCCAATAGGAAGAGTAACGCGCAATCCTGTCGACCTTTTTAAAATCTTCAATTGGTGGAGCCCTCCAAACGGCAAGAAACTAGAAATGGGCATCTCATTGGTCTCTTTCTTGACAGCGAAGTCTCCCGCCAAAAAGAGGCTACTGATTCAAGCAAGAAAGCCCATGTTACTCCCTCTGCATACCGTTCGTGAATAAGGATGCAATCAGACTCACAGATGAGAATGTGAGTGACAAGTATCATATATATATATATATATATAATATAAAATATATATTTTGTGTGTGTATAGTATAAAGTATAAACATGTGCTTTTTGGAGAGGGAATCCAAACAAACAATGTTCATGAAAAAGAGAAAA